TGGCATGCGAGGAATCTTCCTCGTCCTCCTGTCAACAAGTAAACATACCAACAAGATCAATATAAGCTTTAATCATTTCTACTTTCAGAGGTCAACAAACAAAATACTTGACCCCTCAAAATGTCCCCAATTAAAACCGTGTAAATTTTAAATATAAACACTCATCTAATAATTACAAAATGTGTACCATTTTTCAGTCTATCATAGCTCAGCTTCTGGGTGTTAGAACAAACACAAAATGAATAACCAAGCCAACACGACTAAGCAACAGTAGAAACACTTCACAGTAACCAAAATAATAAATCTAGCAAGATATCTTGTTTTAATCTCATCTGCAGAAAACACTTCGTACATGGTAGTGCTTTAGGTGAACATTCATAGTCATGACTGATCACATATGCTAGTATCAGAAAATTAGTAGTGCTTTTGCTTTCTGGATATAGTGGTTGATTATTTGCATCCAGCGCAATTAAAAAAGGCATCCCTGAAAAGAAAATACTATAGCTGGCAGCTTAGCCTCCTAGCAAAGTGCAACTGCTGTCCTGCTTGAGATATATTTACTTATTATACGACTGACCCTACAGAGGCAAGGAGTCCAGTCGAGTAAGTTAAGGGCATTGAGTTTGGAATCAGACTACGGCTAACCAGGAGGAACCATATAGTCCTCTAGGAAATGTGACCCTCTCATCAAGAATAACAATTACATGTACCTACATTTTCTTCTCTATATCAATCTACACCAACTACCAAGACACTAGCATGGGCATGGCTCACAGGGCAGCCACCAGCAAATAACGCCAAAAATCTTCAGTGAAGACCGAGGCAAAAGTTTCAGGAGTTCGGGTTATTCTAAAACTTGCATTAACACAATGCTCTCCGGGAAATCAAATCCTTTATGCATAAAAAACTGAAATGCCATCAGCGAAATATGTATGCACCATTACACACTAAGTGTCCAGACGACCGCTGTGAGTTGGATAAGGTCTCTCATCATATGGCACAAAATAAAAACAGTACTTGAATTCCCAGCAACCCAAAACAATGGGAAAACACCACAAAAGTTAAACGATAACCCAAGTTCAAGATTGGCTGTTTGGAAAATGCAAGACAGCACAACTTATCCAGGAGAACTACTTAATCATTAATGCATCATTTCAAATGTGTACCCCACCTCAGTGATTTATCATAGGTATGTACTCCCTCCGTCCGGAAATACTTGTCATCAAAATGGATAAAAAGGGGTGTATCTAGAACTAAAATACATCTAGATACATCCCCTTTTATTCATCTTGATGACAAGTATTTCCGGACGGAGGGAGTATGTAGGTGCATTTTAATAGTACTCTACACCAAAGAACTGTGATATTACCAAAGGTGTAGTAAGGTGATGACAGTGCTGTCTAGCTTTTGTTCCAATAATCATAATACTAAAAGGTGGAGATGGACATTGTACAGTTTCTAAATATAATGTCTGAGGCAACATGCAGTAGGTGATGCTTGGACGATTTACAGTGAATATACCATGATTTTTAGTTTTAAAAGCATAAAGAACTGTACACGTACACACAGGTTTAAATCTAGGGAAATCAATGCAGAAGCGATGCCAGCATAAAATTGTTACTAAAAATATCACAATGTTGTTATAAAGAATGGAGAACTGTGAACGTGAACTCTTAGGTTAGAAATCCAATTTTGCAATTTAGGAAAATGACACTACCTTTAGTGTTAGAGCACACAAAAGAGCAACACTATAACTTCTATACATATTTAAATTGCAAGTGATTTTATGATGAGCCCTAGAGGCTGGAGCTTTACCCATGTCATATTAATGCTGAGTAAATAATTACATACTATCTCAACAATCAAGCTTGCGCAACGAACTGCAAAACTGGCAAGAAGAATAGGGCTATAGATTCTGCAACTAGCAGCATTGCAATGCGCCTAGGAGATTGCGGCTAAAAATAATAAGAATTCCTCAAATGGAAGTCAAAGAAGATCCCTCGGGACTTAACAAAGATTACGAATGATCTATAGTTATGAAAGAGAATCTGCAACTCAGAAAAGTAATCTAGCAATAATATCGAAGTACACAGCTAGGATGCCAACGAACATATATTACCAGACCCAAAGAATATACAACTATTAAGTTGTGTTATCAAAGTAATGTTGGTCACAAGTCCTAGACTTGTAATCATAAAGTAGATAAGCAACAAGAAGTAAGAATGACAGATAGGAGTAAAATGGTCCCCAGGTCCCAGGAGCATGTGCTCCTTCAGTGGACGGTAAATAAATAATTCTGAGTGTCTAAAATTCAGGTAAAATTACACATGCAAATGTTTGAACCATTCAGATTCCAGTAGGTTTTCTTGGAAAAACAAACACTTTTTTGCGCCTGAGCAAAAGAAACAAATCTGGGCTCTAAAATGTAATCTTTAGAGGCACAAAACTTGTACAGAAAAAAAGGAGACCCAGTGCTAGAAGCTCCTACGCCAGGTGGGGCCTGGGGAAGGATTATACGAGGCAAGCCTTACCCCTGCACACTGCAATGCAGAGAGGCCGCCTCCAAACTTGTTTTACACAATGGTTACAAATATTGTCAGAGCGCTAAACTTGGTTTCTCCACTCATGCTGCAGAAATGCCAGCTTTTTCCGTTAAATTTACAAACGTAATAAAATACAAGAGAATTTACATGTGTATCCTTTTCAGAATGTTTTGATATCAGGGATTGGGATTGCTGTTCTTTTCAACCAGCATTTTAAGTAATGGCCAACAAAGTAAAAAAGGAACAAATGTACAATAAACAATCATGTTATTGCATGACTGCAATATGATGAATTCAAGCGCGTGATATTTATAATCTTTAATACAACAAAAACTCAATTACTATGTTTGCAAACTGCGAAGACCCATCAGAATAGAGACCATCCTGTACCTAGATAGTGGTAGCACTACACATAATATTATACAAAGATCATAGTTTTTAAGTTATTATTTTCAGCGTTTTTTCCAGAACACCAATGCACAGGCACTGTCTGTTATATCTAAGCAACGGCGCACAACATCCATATGAAACAGCATAATATACACCCCAAATGGATCGACCTTACAGTTTTCCAATTAAAGCTATAATCCACATTGATCATTACTACTGAATCAGCACAAAAAGCACCAGCAGCAGCAACAATGATGATAATAATAATACTAGGAGCACTGTGCACTACAGCAGATCAATCGTTGACAAAGATCAGAACAAAGTTTCAGGGCAATGATCACTTCACCATGCTAAGCATATACTATTAAATTACTAAGGAGTGCAATTTGCTATTTCACCTTGTGATTTTCAGCAGCTAGGGTCTCCTTGAGTGATGGTGCCTCTGGTGAGTCGGTCATGCTCATCTGTGCCTGCAGACCTTCAGCTCCATGGTTCCCAGCAACTGCAGGTGCTGTGTAGTAGTCTGATGCCATGATCCTGTCTAACTTGGACCTCACCGCAGCATCTACAGCAAAAGGCCACAAATTTCAATCAGCAATCACCTCAAATCAAACCAAATTACAAACCTATATCAACCCTCACATGTAACAGAGGAGCCAGGGTGGATCGGCGCATCAGCACGGGTTAGCCATAGGCGGGCATGATGGGCACAGGCCTGGAGTGCGTCATGGTGGGAGACACCATCTGCGGAAGAAGGGCGAGCCGCGGCAAGGGCCGCCACAGCAGACACTGCGTCAAGGTCGTTCTCCACGAGCAGGTCCACGGTATCATCCCATACGTAGCCGTGGGTGATGCAGCTGCTCCGTTCGTTCTTGCGCGCAACCATGGTGGCGATGAACTCGTTCGGTGACTTGACATAAAAAAGGGAGCCGAAGTAGATGAGCGCGAGGAGGTCCTGGATGGACAAATCGGAGCCAAAGGATGAGGAACCAGCAGCAGGTGCAGGGACGGTGGAGAGCTCCTTGGTGAGAGCAGTGGAGAGTGGTACGCGGAGGCGCTCAAGCTCGTCAATGAGCGCGGCGATGACGGGCTTGGAGTGCATGAGCTCCTTCTGCTCCTGGTTAAGCATCTTGCCGGCAGCGACGGACTCCTCCATCTGCGCGATGCGATTCTGCTTCTTCCGCAGCACACGGAGACGCTTCGACACCACCGAGAGCACCAGCCCTTCCTTGATTTCAAATATTGTCCCTTTGGTTTCAAATTCTTTAACCAACTCTGCAAAAAAATGCAAAGCATAATGTAAGGCAACAGTAATGTTTTCATCAACAAAAAAGCAACTAATTACATGTGTTATCAGACTACCATATTAACTAGTGCTTTTCCGGTCATTACAATTTTTTGTTAACTCCGTAAATTTATTAGGGACGAGTACCTGAAGTCGTGCCAAAAGAGCTAAAAAGAACACACGGTTCATATGTTGGTTAGAACCACGCCGTCTTTTGAGGAGCACACTGCGCACCAGACTCGAGCTTCAAACTTTTGGTGTCCACAGTAAGTACATATGCTGTCGGATGGCACATGTTCTCGTTCGCCATAATGTAAATAACATTGTCATCAAGCAAGCTTAATGTAGGACCAGCACTAGTCAATTTCTTCCAAGTCAAATTGTTTTCCTCATCAAACATCCCAGGCAACAAATTCGGCAAACTTGAGTCGGTGAAAGATATCTCAGACGTATCAATCGTCAAGCCATCACACCAAACATCTGAATAAATTGATCTAGTCCATGTTTTAGCCATCCAGCCATAATCCTTTGCTCGCTTCATGTTGAAGAAAGCATCTTGCACATGAAAATCTAACTCAACACACTTGATCAAATCATTGAATATCGTCACATGACGGTGTGGTCTTGGAGTGAGATTCTCAAACATCAAATGGAACTCAGACGTATCACACGGTTCCGGAACTGGCAACGGAACAAAACGGATGGTAGGCTTTTTATCCAAAACATTGCATAAGAGAATTCCCCACTAGAGATCAATCCAACCTATGATACCCTTTTCTGCATATGCCACGCTCATGGTATTATGAAGCAATAGCTTATCCCTGGCATTCCTTGTCTCATTATCCTCAGCGATACAAGCGACCTGAGAGTGCCAATCATTCGTGTCAGATCGATATATGTGGAGTGTGTAATGTTTGCGAGACTCAAGTCTGAAATATTCAACATGTGGGAAAATGACAGCAAAGTCTTCACTGTTATCACTAACAGGCAAGATGGCAGCCATGTTTGGCGAAAAAGAAGACGGGTATGGCCTTGCAAGAAGATGAAGAGAGGCGAAATCGGGCCCTGCTTTGTAAACAAAATAGTCGATGAACCGCAAGTAACGGTTGACACTGTCCGAGAAGGTGATAGCCAGCAGTACAAAGCCTCCAGTTACACCAAGTATACGAGGCGGTGCTGTCAAGCGATCCCCGGTCTGATCAACGCAGCTGACCAGGCACAGTGAGATGGCTGGAGGGTCAACTGCTTCAAAAGAAACCTCCAAGTGAACCCCTTTGCTATTCTTGGATTTTGCGGTAGTGGAATTTTTCAACTCGCCCACTAAACATTTTTTATCCAAGAGGATTTGGGGGTGGTGGCCACACGGAGAAGGATGGTCTTGCATTGCCATGACGGAAGTGAAAGGGTGCCGATGAAGATATGGATCGTGGAAGGCGGCGAATGGCCTAGCCCTGGGAATTGACGGGAAAGAAGCTCGGGGCTCGATGTCAGGGAATCAGGGTAGATGAGCTCGGACTATGGCTGCCTGGGAGTCAGGGCAGACGGCCGGAGACGGAGCATCGTGGAAAAGGCCGAAGGTGGGAAGCGCCGGGATGGCGGTGGTGGCGGCGGCGGCAGGCGGTCGAGGTGCGCGGCGGCAGGCGGTCGAGGCGCTCGGCGGCAGGCGGTCGCGGTGCGCCGCGACGGCAGGCGGTCGCGGTGCGCGGCGGCGACGGTGGAGCCGAACCCTAGCGAGGCGGCGGCACGAGGGAGACAGATTGAGCGAGGGGAAGAACCGAAGGAGCGAGACAGACCTTTTTGACAGATCGGTCGCAACAGATCCTCGAACGCTCGGGGCGGCCGGCCCATGTAGTGTAAGGCTCGGTAGCGAGTTGTTTCCAGTGAGTTTGTTTTTCCTTTTTTTGAGGTTTTTTTTTCTGTTTTATTAGTTTTCAGTGGGTTTTTATTTTGGTTTTCCAGGAAAACACGAGATTTATTTATTTATTAAAAATATATTTCTTAAAAAAATACATGGAATTTTTGAAAATTTGAGAATATTTTCTAATATGTTTGTGAGCATTTTATGAAAAAATATAAACACTTTTTTATATTTCTGAACATTTTTAAGAAATTTTTGTAAATGACGAACGTTACAGTTTTTAGTAATAGACTAGCACAAGTGTTTTCGTGGCTCTCTTGGTAGGTTTTGGAATATTTGAGAATACATAGGCGGAAGAAATAGGTCGGCAGAGTCACGAGGGGCCCACAAGGGTGGGGGGCACGCCCTACCCCCTGGGCGCACCCTCCGTCCTTGTGGGTGCCTCATGGCTTCCCTGACATGTACACCAAGTCCTCTGGATGTCTTTTGGTCCAAAAAAAATCATCGTGAAAGTTTCATTCCGTTTGGACTCCGTTTGATATTCCTTTTCTGCGAAACTCTAAAACAAGGGAAAAACAGGAGCTGACACTGAGCTCTAGGTTAATAGGTTAGTCTCAAAATAATATAAAATAGCATAATAATGCATATAAAACATCAAAAACAAATATATAATAGCATGGAACAATCAAAATTTATAAATACGTTGAAGACGTATCAACGCCTTCGTCGCCGGTACCCACCCCTCTCAACCAAAGCTTTCACCTATAGCCCAGAGACCCTCCACCTCGATGAGCCTCTTAGGAGAAGGCTAAACCACCGATACGTGCCACATGCCAGTGGAAGACCACGTGAACCGAACAAGGAGCAAGCTGCTCGATGCCTCTCCATTGCACCACGTCAACAAAGTGGCTAGCTCGCCCAGAGGCCACCCGCACCTCCACAGCCCAAGCATGCCTGCGACGACACTGGCAGAGCAAGGCACACGCCACCACTGAAGCGTTTACCACTGAGCCCCACCTTCACGACCTCATAAGACTAACTCCGCCGCGCGACCCTATCCCGTCCGCCCCCGTCCGTTTGGGGTAAAAGGGATAAACCGGACGGCCCAGCGCGCGACGGCCTGGACCCATCTGGTCCGTTTTGTGTCCGGGCCGACTCATTTCGAGCGCAAACATGCGCCGGGTTTGGGTCGCAGCGGACAGCAAATGGACGCGGCGCTCGTCCACGTCGGGGCCGCGTGGCAGGCGGCCACCTACCTCCCACCGCTTGACATTAATGCGCACACGCGGTTGGCCCCGCCTGTCATCTGCCCAGGCGAACGGTCGCCGTCCTTTTTAAATGAGGAAGCCGTGGACCGGTCGTCGCCCACACTCCCCATTCCAACCCACTGCCTCCTCGAAACCCGACACCCCCAAACCCTAGCCTCTCCCTGTCCTCGAACTCGCCGGCCGGCTGCCTCACAGCAATGGGGCGAACCACGGCCGCAAGGGGAAGCACGACCGCGAGGCTGGCTCCTCCTCGGGACGCCGTCGCGGCTCCGTGAAAGAGGAGGCCGCATCGCCACTGTGTCGAGCCCCCGCGCCTGCCCCATTCACCATCGGCCCTAGGGCCGCCGGCGAGCGCAACCGGCAGTACATCAACGCGGATGTATGCCGGCGCTATTGGGAGACGATGACACCGATCCCGTGGAGCGACGTCCACCTCCCCAACAATTGGCACCTCTCCGCCGACCAGGTCCCGATCCCGCCGGTCCCGACGGGCGACCGTGCGCGCCACGACGAGATCGTGCGCCGCCGCCGCCTCCTCCTCGGTGACCTCTACTACGACGATAGGTACGCCCCCGACTCTGTGCTCTGGGACACGTGGCTAAGGGACGAGCACGACGTGCGGCGCGCCTCTTACTTCGCCGGCACGTCGTCGGGGCCGCGGCGGGAGGTGCGCGGGAGTAGGCGGGTGCGCGGCCTCACACCCACGTCGTCGCCTTCCCCATCTCCATCGCCACCTCCACCTCCTCGCATGACAGCGGAGGAGGAGGCCCAGCTCATGCAACGTGTCATGGAGGACTCCATGAACACGCACGATGAGCGCCAATGGCGGGGCCTCGAGTAGACGGTGGCTCTCTTTTTGGCCGGCGACGTCGCCTTCCCCGAGCTGCAGATGGTAAGGGCGGAGGAGGTGATGGGGGAGGAGCTGGTGGCCGCGTTCCACCCGAGCCTGGTGGGCCAGCAGTGGAGCTGGTCGTGCACGGCTCCGGAGATGGCCGACGCCGTGGGTGGCGTGAACTGGTGCCCCATGCCGCCGCGGTCACCGGAGCAGGAGGCGTCGCCATGGGAGGAGGTGGTGCAGGCACCTCCCGCCTTCCGGCCCGCCACCGAGTACCATGAACCGCCGTCCCACCTCTGGACGCCGCCGGACTATGTCGACCTCGTCAGCGATGACGACGACACCGGCGGCCACCGAAGACGGCGACGGCCACGGCATCGACGGGCACGGCAGGAGCGCGCGGGTAGCGTTTTTATTTATTTTTAAGTTAATTATGCCAAACTGGACGTTCGCTTTATTTTAGTTTTTCGGTTTCTTTTAATCACGTCCACTCCGGACATGATTTGGGGTGCGGCCGCGCGTTAGGCGCACCCAGGACCCAACTGAAGGGGACATGAGCGAACCCATTGCCGCTCCAAAGAGACAAAATCCAGCCAAACTGGACGTTCGTTTGGGGACGTGAGGTGAAGTTGGCCTAACTCACGTCGTGCCCTCACTAGAGCTCGCCAAGAACGGATCTAGGCGCCAAACCGTCCGTCCCGTGTGTGACGGCTTGGTCTCCTGTCTGGCGCTTCTTGTGGCAACCTAGGGTTCGCCTCCTCGTCCCCCAACACGGCGGCGGCAGATCCATCTCGTCCCAGCCGCCTTCGGCAGCTTCGGAGGCCAGCGACCCAACCTCCCTCTCTCGTCCGCATAGATCCCAACCCATCTCCACCAGAGGCCTTCCATGTGAGTCTGGGGCACGCGGTCG